CATTTTTTTTCAAAGTAGAACGACGAACATATTGTTGCATAAAAAATTACGCGATTTAATAGCATGATATCTGACTCCATGTTTAAATGACATGTCACTTGACAACAAGGCTGTGTGCTATTAAGTTATTGTTTTCGTTATTAAAGACAAATAACACAGACAGATACTTATAATAACATAATGACTTTACGTATAGATTATCGGTTTCATATTAAGATAACTTCTCATGCTTTCCTATGGTGTTAAATTTAAAATGGCTCTTTAGTCAAATAACACTCTCAAAATTGATTAGATACTGAAAATATATACTTCCTAACGAACAGTTACGTACTTGATAACGACATAAACTGAAGCCAAAATCAAGTGTGGTTTGATTTTCCTTTATGAAAGGCGATGGTAATAATAGCTTCGACCGATATAGCGCAATATCCGGGCCTTTCAATGAGAAGTTAACACCGACAACACAGTGTAAGTGAGTCTGATTTCGCACATAACACATGTTTGACACTTTGAATTTTCACAAGACGTCATAAGCAAGAATTATAAGTGTCATATCATATAAATCTAATGAGATATTTGTGTTCAAAGTTAGATTCGAATAAAAAGAAACCGGTTTAATGAGTATGCAGGCAATAAGGTATCGTAGGGTGAATTTCAAACCGCACAAAGAAAGATATCAGTTGGTTTAAACGTAAAATATTTTCATATTCTCCTCGGTTGGAAAGACACGTGTTTTAGTTAGTTCACTTACAGCTGCTGTTAAAACGGGTTATCGTTGTACAGTTAAGGATTTCTTAATTACATATGAAGAAAACACTCTCTGTTGTCACTTTTTCGAAATGAATTGTTCATAAGGAGTATCAAACTATATCATCATGAAGACTTTTGCGATAAGACTATGAAAAAACAAAACTTAACTAAGTTGCCCCTTTAATATTGTGGGCTGCTGTATACAATCTTAACAGATGCAAGTGCTGTAAACCCTTTATTTTAACAAGTATTTTGACCAACGATCTTATACGTCAAAAACCCCTATCCAACTGATATCCTAGTCATATGTAGGTACATTATGATAAATACGACCGGCAAATACCAATTCAATATACTTCATATGGTATAAATGAAATCATTCGAGGTGACAACGTTCAGTGGTTACAATACGTAGACAAAGTCGTTACATATAGCACAGTGATTTGTTACCCCAATGAGATTAATTTGCAGATTCTATTTACCTGTGGTTGCTTGTGTGTCTCCAATACACATCTACAAGACTAGCGTGTGTGCTGAATACAACCATGAATACACATTCTACCTGTGTTTTTTTGTCTCACTTTACTTAACGTCCATACGATAGTTTTACAGAAGTCCTCAATATAACCTGTATGAGTCATACTGCTGTTAATTTATTAATTTAATACCATGCATTTATAACACCAAATCCCCAATACCGAAATACAAATAGGTTCCACGAAACTTTCCGTATATATACAAGATTACAAAAAAAAAGTTTTTCATTAGAATTTTGCAATTCCAATATAATCCTAATATAACCCAAATGACATACAACGAGCTAAAAGCTGTGAGCAAAAACAAAAAAAACCCGATAACCTGCAAATGAGCTAGGACTAGTCATCTCAGTCGAAGTCCAAGATCTTGTTCAGTTACAGGTTATTAATTTTTCGAGCACCTTTTTGTTCCAAAAACCTATTCAATTTTGCTAAAGACTACAAGTACCCTGTCTGTGGCCTCGAATAAATATGGCCTCTACACTACTTAAACTACATTTGAATGCTTCCGCGTAAAAATGTTATCTTTCATTACAAAAAACAACAACGTATTTCACAATGTACATTATATTTTATCTACAACGCCACGATAAGGTTCCAGAAAGGCTGGACGAGGTAGACAAATTCTAGCACGGGGAATGACGGTGGGTATCTCTGTCTGAGGTGCGAGAAAGGACATGTAAGACCAGATAATCATTCCACACCAGAGTGGCACAGTGGGATTAACTGTTAGGTATGATATACTTTCGTCTATTTGACTTTACAAACCACTGTTTGCATCTGAATGTTTGAACTTGGTAATGGACTATGACGATAAGAAAAGGCTGGAGATGAAACCTTGAAAATATTTAAAAAGGGTAAAATACTATCTAGTAGTGCACTATTTAAGAGGTGGCGAACTTGATGGTTACGTGTTGTATGTACCAAACAATATAATACAGTAATTTGTTACCTAAGTAAGGTTCATTTGCAGAGTGTATTACTAAATCAGGTACGTATATTAAAAGGGGGCTGCTTGTGCGCTTTCAATAAACATCTATAAGACTAGCGCATGTGCTGTATAGAATCAAGAATACACAATTTACCTGTTTTTTGTCTCAATTCAGTAGCATCTATACGATAGTTTTCCGAAGTCCTAAATACAAAATGTTTGAGTCATACTGCTACTTAATTTGGATATCATGCAATTCTGATAACATATAGGTGCCACGAAATTTTTCATATTTATACAAGATTACAAAAGGAATAGGAATTTTGGGAATACCTATGATATCGTTATAAAGCTCAAATGACATATACAGTTTATATAGCGAGATGGATACATGTAAGGCCAGGTAATCATTCGAAACCAGAGGACATTAGTGTCTCTTAGGGATTAGCTGTAGGGTAAGATAAGGTTGTTTTTTTATCTAACACACTTTTTGTTGCATCTAAAATGTTGAATTTGGTACAATCATTAATAGTGTGGATAGATCGGAACTAAAGCATTGTTTTATTGTAGCCTAGTGTGTATCTCTTTAAAACAAATAGTCGTTGTGTTTATTTCGACGATAAACGCACATATTCTTCATGGTATTAGTTCATTTCTTTGAAGAAAGGTTTATGCAGCACAATCAGATGAGACAAATTTTGTCTAATGAAAGTGTCAGAGTACGTCACACATATATACATTTACTGGTTGTGATACATAACCTTTCTTCAATCCATACTTACTAACCAGAAGAAAAGAAATGTTTAGAAACATCCATTACTTTATTCTTTATTTGCTATTTAATTTAGCAGAAGAGGAAAATAAAGACTAATATTATCAGCACTACGTTTTTTAAATTTACTTATCAAAACTATGAAATGAGAATGTTCCTTTTATTGTATGAGGCAATTATTGAAAAAAAATGATTACAAATTAAAAACTGACAATGCCATTTAGAATTAAGTCAAATAAGATTTTCAAAAACTCTAATCCTCCATTTATATGAATGTCTATGATAATGATTTCAGAAGGTTTGCTTATTTTCTCATAAATATTACAGCAAAGTAATGCCTGTTGTAGTGTACAGGTATGCAGCATCTATATGACAGACTATTGTGGTCACCTTTTGGTAACCGACTTTCTACAGCAGAGTAGAAATTTAGTAATTATCTCAGGTTCTGTATTTTCTTTTGTAATTCCAGAAACAGTACAAAAGGTGATATGTCTTTTTCAAGTCAGTCAAGACGGTTAAGTCAGTCAGGTTCGTCAAGTAAGAGTCAGTCAGATTCGGCAAGTCGAAAAGCGATTGGAACTTCACAATGTTTTGTTGCGGCGAGTAAGAACATTTCAAAATCTGAACGTGGATATGAATCCGAGGAAACAAGCCGATCAAGAATCAATGAAGATCTGAGAGGTTTAAAGAAAGGTGATATGATCCGGATAGAACGGTCTACCTTTCTTCATTACGTCATATATTTAGGTAAGCTTATTTAATATGTATTTGATGCATTAGGTTCACAAATATACATTACACGCATTTTAACTTCTAAAAGTATTTTTCTCATAAGTCTGAAGTTGCATGCTTTTTTATACTTCGTTTTACTTTGTTTTACTCTCCTATAATAACCAACATGGAAGTTATCGTTTTACTCGTTACAGTATATATACAAGTGTGTCTTTCCTAGTGTGACGCTCCAATCCGGATGTTATGTATTGCATATTTGTTTACATGAAAAAGTGACATTTTTATGCCGCGATGTTTGGTTAATTGTTTATTAATGTACATATAATTCAAGTTAGTACACACTCCATCTATTCATATATTTGGGAAAAACAATAAGAGAAATCCGATTTGTCAACAAAACCATAATTTTAACTCAAAATTAATTAAACTCTGGCAAAATACAAAATTAGTAGATATTTACATAGCGACCCTTGAAAAGGGACAAAGAAAACACCAGGTGGTCCGGAAAGGCAAGCGTCCACTGCTTCATGGACGACGCCCGCCTTGTAAATCTACGTCATATCTAAGTAATGTCACGTCCTGAGATCAAGAACTCGGGTAGTGACAACAAAAGCATAAGATAAAGGATCATACAGCATGTTAAAGTTTTCAGGAATTTTTTAATGTTAACAAAATATATGTGTTATAAAAAAAATAACATTTCACTTGATGAAATGTCGCTTTTATGCAATTATGTCCTATCTGTACGTTTTTAAAAAGAAAGGGAAAATATTGAATTAATTTCATCACGACAGAAAGAAAATATTCGTCTCTCATCTAGGTCATTTCTTTCAAAAAATTTGAAGATCAATAATATATACTCCTAGTTCGAAAAGTAATAAGAAAAGCCTTGTATTATTGACTTTTCGTGTTCCTCAAACAGCGATTGAATGATTAAAAGAATAAACGCATGATGCTTCACACATTAATCATCGAAAGAAGACCAAGCTTTCATTGGTACTTAGCTGATATATTTGCCTGTGATCGAAATTTTCGGTAATTTGACGCAGTGTATCGTACTTTGTGCCATCAGTACATACTCGGTTCTTCAAGTTGTGTGCGATAAATTCAGGAAAAAACCCCGAGAGCCATGTAAAGAGCGATACTGTCAGTTGGTCAACCTGAAAAGCCCTGTGATAGGTAATGGCTACTGGTTTCAAAGTCGGTCACTATATCATTTTTTATATGCTTATACCTTCTTTACATGGACATTTAATATTTTTAATTAAATATATTTCACAATCAGGAAAGTAGAATATTGTGGATTTTGTGGCGGATAAAGGAGGTGACGGTCAGTCACGTGGCATATATGAGACCATTGCCGATTGCAACTTCGTGATATATAATTACTTGGACGACGTAAAAAAGTAAGTGTAGGCGAACTTACCCAAGATCGCTGTATACCTGGATATTTGACTTTGTTTGATATTTCAATATCTATATGATTGTAAGCAGTTTATAACGAACTGATCGAAACGCTTTGGTTTATTTTCTTAGCGTTGGACAAACAGCTGATCATAAATAATACAAACATATGAGTTAAACATTCTTTTTAACTTTCTTAGACGGATCACGAAAAAGATATTTTTCTACTTCAGCAGGTTTAATTTGTCAAGTGAATGAGTGAGTGAGTGAGTGAGTGAAGGAGGCAGTCATTGAGAGAGCAAGCGAGTGTTAGCGGATTGGTTTAAGCAAGTTTTTGGATTATGTAGGGTAATGTTTGATTAGGCTACACCTTGGCATTTTAGTAATTGTCATATTTTCTTTTACAGCCCTTTACCAGGAGTTGAAATTGTCCAGAGAGCAATTTTGCGACATGGTGTATATAATATGATGTTGCCAAATGTCACCAACTGTGTGAGGTGCCAGCAACTTTGAGATCAGTTGTTGGTGAGATTTAAGTACACGCAACCATAAACGCACTTTCAAAGAAGGAATTGTACAATAAGGACACTTAATCCATTAACAAACAATTGTTCATTGGAAGCTTATTACCTAGATAGATATATAAGTAAAGAAGTTATAACGTCAGTGCGAAAAGAGAAATTTGTGAAATGTTCGAGGTGTCGTCCATTTATCAAGACAAAAATAAAGAATCAACTCGTTTAACAAAATATGAAGCTTAACAGCTACTATGGATCCATGGTCATGTTTGGCTGTTCCAAATATAAAACTTATAATTATGTGTAAAAAAGCGCACAAAATATAATTTTGTTCATAAATTTAAGTACTGAAGTTACTGAATTGATATTCTGATAGCATACCCACTCGGCCAGCAGGTACATGTAGCAGTAGGTTCATTGTATCTTGAAATTGTTTGTGGCGAATCTGTGTACTCAGGTGAATGAAAAGCTAAAAGATGTGAATAAAGCAGTAGATCAATGAGCAAAATTAGTTGCATTATTTACAAGCAAGCGAAGTGTGACAAAAACCATGAGAAAAACGACGAAAAGATATGCTATGTCATCAGCAAATGAATCCAGTTAAAACTGTTTCAGACTTGTTTTTTCTTTATTGTTCTTAACATCCCATTCATTTTTGACAATTAAAAAAAATATTAAACTGTTTTTGGTAGATACTTTGATGACAAAATACTTTATACATTAAAATAAGCTTACATTTCCATCCAGTTAAACACGTATCCCATTTCAGCTATTTCTATTGAGTTTTGTTTTGTGTGCCTCTTCGGAGATTTGTGTTAACACATATTTGTATAACATAACAGAATGTTGATTTTTTATGTAAAGCAGTAAATTAAACAAAGGGATTTAGGGATATGGAATTAAAAAATATGATTGTTTGATTATTTTTACATGCAGTGAATGTGAAACTGACTGCAAGCTGGATATAAGTTGCCAAACAGAATATTATGTAAAGCTAGGCCGTAGAAAAATGTTTTTATGGCCATTTACAATAACGATGCAACTTCCTTATTATCTACAATTTATTTTTACAATAAGTGTTATAGATGGAGAGTGTAATACATAATCAGAAGACCTGTGATCAACCCTGTTCGCGCAATTTTATTTAACATTATAGATGATGTCTACTATTATTGTGAGACTGTTTGAGATAGAGAGTATCTTTCATTTTTATGCGTTTGAATTTTAACTTATCCTCATAGATAGATGGTTTGGAGAAAAATAAAGATCAGGACAGGAATAGAACATGTTTAAATGGTATAGTTCATCAATTGTAAATACTAGATTTGTAATAAGAAAAATGTATGACAAAGTGAATTATGATAGAAAGAGTTGTAACATATTTATACATAATCTTTATGACGAAATGTAAATAAAGACAAATAACCTGACTTATTGTATCTTGAAAGTCATTCAACTCTAATTATAATATAATTTGTGACCAGAGAACACCGAGGCCAGTTCTAGATCAGGACTTTTTCATCAATTCGGACAGAGGTTCCATTCATTTTGTGCCGTACAGCAATACGCAAAGCAACATTGCAGAAGACGATGACAAAAAGACACACAAAAAAACCGCATTTCTTAGCTCCTTCCTTCACAAACCAAGATAAATAGGTAATCAAATGTATGTGAATGGTCACAAATTGAGATCGCAGAAACTTTATTTCGTGATTTGATTATCCGGATACCATTGCCTTTCTTCGTTAGTAGTTAGTTTATGTTATACGATACTGATGGAAAAGGTAAAACAAAATTATCTTCTCTGCTGCATGTTCTGTTTTCTATGCGTAACAGTGTAAAGGAGGCCACCCCCTAATATCGGTATGATATGTAACTATAGTTGGACATTAAAATGCATTATGAGGAAACATCTTGCTCCAAAAATAATTCTTTTTTTATATGTTTAAGGCGCATTCGATTATGCTTCCAAATATAATCATCATTCCTCACAAACATGTATAAATCCGAGTCCAATTATTCCACATTTACTCACCAAACGAGCAGTTATCGATATTGGTTATACACCACTTATATCGAGCTCTAAAAGGAATACGCTAATGGTTAACAGTTTCGTTTGCAATGAGTAGAAGACAATTACATTATATATATTTTTTTATTTGACACTTTTTTTCCCCTTTTGCATAATATAATGACAATGACAACACAACTTTACAATGGAGAACATCAATGCAAGATAAGAATGTTTCAATTTGACCATATATTTGTCGAACCGGATTCTGCATTGAAGAGCAAAGATATACTTTTGTTCGATTATATATGCTGATATGTCTATTATAACTGGAGTACCAATAAATACCTATTGCAAAAAAGACCTTTTTATATTTTATACACATAACCATATATTTTCATACATCCACTCACTCATATACAAGTTGTCTAATACCGCTAAACATGACTATATGACAATTAAATTAGACTATTTGGAACCATTTCTTTTCAAACTTGGTGTAGTCAATATTCTTTAAATATATTAGCGTTTCCGCAAGAATAGAAAATCTTGTTCATGTTGTACCAGCCTGGTAAGTTAGACACCCTTATAGTGTCCCTTTTCTTCATTACTTCATACCAATCTTATCAGATGAACGATTAAACCTTTTATCTATTTAATGACTTGGATTTTCGCATTTTATCAGTAGATAAATCCATATGTAACTTTCAAAATCTATATTAATATTTAGCTACCTGTATGCAATGAATAAAAAAACACATCGATTTAGTTTTGAATATCTATTATTTGATATGGACCTCATTTTTGGAGATCGTGAATTCCAGGTCTGGGCAGGCCACGATAAACCATAATTTGATATCTAAAATGGAACTGTATAGTTAAATAATTGTTTTTTTAAAACTCGTTATCTTTTTGAACTCGTCTGCATCGCGAGTAGTATCCATGTTCATATATAGAATAAAGCGTATTTGTATGGTCAACATCAGTTATGTTTAACATAATGTGTAAATCATTAGTGATCTATAGGTGGGATCCAATTTTTGAATTCTAAATAAGTATATAAGCAATGTGTCAAACGATTTTGGTGAGTGATGTGAATGGCATTGATAATTATGTTATGTATGTTATACAGTTAGATGGTTTGATTTAAAATGCTGTATATTTGCTGTGTTTTTATTTGAATTGTATGGTTCGACTAAATGCAGAATCAAAATAAACAGATATAATTCACGACATAGTTTGTTGCTGTGTTGAGCAAAGATAAAATTGCCACAGTTACATGTATAATTTAGAAAAAAACCACAAAAGTAAACAGTAGGGTGGTTCAGAGAGGATTTGATAGTGAAGTTTGATAAAAATCTGTTAAGAAAGTTGTTAGTGAAGTTCGATAAAAAATCTGTTCAGAAATGGATTTGCCAGTGAAGTTTCATAAAATCTGCTATGACATTATTGTATTTATCCTTCAATAAGNTTGCAATTTATACTAAACTGCAATAGATAAGGATGGGCTTATTACAAGACATGGACTAATTGACGGATAAATACAGTAATATAATGTACATAAGCAAATATGTATTCATGCATGTCTACGAACAATACATTTTCTGAAG